ATGCCGCTCGGGTCGCAGCGGCCTCGCGTGCCGCAGGGGCTCGGCGTGCGCGGGCAGGGCGAGGAGCGGCCGCGCAGCGGAAGGCGCTGCTTGTGCGAGTGCGCGTGCGGCACGCGGCGCCACAGGAGCGATAGAGAGCGCCGCAGGAGGCGCAGGCGCGACAGGCGCAGGGGGCAAAGAGGGGAGGGAGAGGCGGGGCAGGCAGCGGAGGCGGGGCAGGCGGCGGAGGCGGGGGCGGGGGCGGAGATGGAGGCTAGCGCGGAGGCTAGCGCGGAGGCCAGCGCGGTGTCGAGCGCTGAGGGGCTGTGGATGGACGCAGGGGTGGCCGGCGAGACGATGGAGACCTCCGCGGAGGCGGAGATGACCGCCGAGGAAATGGCGACGCCCACGGAGGAGGGGACGAACGCCAAGGAGATGGCGACGCCTGCAGAGGAAGCGATGGTGATCGGACCGCGGCTGCCGATGCGTTAACTTGAGGTAGAGAGAGTTCGGGGAGAGTTCGGTGAACTGGGGAGCACTTCGGCTTCTAGGAGAAGAGCAGAGAGGCTGTTATGATAAAGTGTCCCCCGCTGAGGCTTTACAGTTGGGGAATGTTCTCCGCAGTGACGCGGGCGTATCCGCTCGACACGTGTTTTCCGCTTCGGTGTATCATACAACTCCGTGCTCCTTGCCCAACTCGAACTTTCAAACCTCCGCCCCTCTAACATCGCCACCTCTACCTCACCTCCCACCTCTCCGCCACCATGATCCTAACCGACCTCCATCTGGAAAAGGCGCGCAAAGCGTACGCCTTCCGCGACCGGCTGGCGGACTTCTCGGAGGACCCGCCTGCGGAGCTGCGCGTGCTTGTGCGTCTGCCGGACGCCATCCACTTCATCGACGTGAACATCATCGCGGCGTTCAACGCGCGAGACAACAGCGTGAAGCCGCCCATGAAGGACTATGTCGAGGTCGAGCGCTACTCGGCGCCCCCGAAAGATGCCATCCGCTTCTTCCGCTTCGAGCACATCTTCACCCTCAACCACGACTACGACATCCGCGCAGACTTCCTCGTCGACGCGCACATCGCAGGCACCCTCACCAACGAGCCCATCGGCTCTGCCCACGTCAAGCTCAACGACATCGTCCGCTCCGCCGGCGAGAAGAGCGAGGTCCAGCTCTCGTCGCCGGGCAATGACCGCAAGATTAACATGAAGGCCGAGTTCGGCGTCGAGTACCTCCGCATCATGTCCGCTAAACTGCTCCTGGATGTGCATGTGCGCATCGTCAAGTCGAGTCATTGGCCGCTCAACGCCGCACGCCCATTCTATATTATTTTCCGATGGGTTAGGCACAGCACTAGCTGGCTTGCTATCTACGAGTCGGAGGTCCTGGATCGCCCGACGGCGCACCCTGACGCGCATGGCGCCATGATGTTTCAGGACTGTGATATGTACATCAAGCACGTTATTGGCGACGATAGCGATGAACAGCCGCTGCGTTTCGAGTTTTTCCATCTCGATGCGGAGCGGGGGAAGCAGTTGCTGGGCTACTTTACTACGTCGCTGCGGAGCTTGAGAGAGCTCAACCATGGTAGTGAGTTGGAGTTGAATGCCAACACTTTCCCGGAGGGGGAGTTCTGTGGCACTGCGCTTTTGCATTCGTCCTTCGTCACAATGTATAGGCATTTCTTTCACTTGCAAGTCGAGTTTCGAGGCGTTGCTGATGGCCCCTTTGTCTACTTTGATATCAGTATCGCCGATGCTTCTAGCGGTAACCTGTTTGGCAATCTGAAGGGCCAACGCCCGTGCTACAAGATTGTACGATATGGCGACGATGGCAAGTGGATTGAGTTGTATCGTTCCGAAGCTCCGCTGCACGGCTTGAACCTGAAGCGCTCTCACAAGTTCAACGTTGCAAAGCTCTCCGAGGACAAACTCAATAAGGGGAACAGGAGATCGCCGATTTTTTTTATCTTTTCCGCCAAAACACTCTGGGGAAACGAGGCCGAGGCCGGCACTGTGCGCACTAATATCGAAGAGCTTGCACAAACAAAATCCGGTCACTACTTCCCATTGCATACGGGAAATAACCGAAACGGTTACTTTCAAATACTTCAAGCAGAAAGAGGCAAGAACTTCATGTATTTTTCAGCCCATTGCGTCTTGGGTGCCTCAAGACCTGACGAGGACGACGCTTCTTCCATGCTGAAAGCGCAGGTGGCGACGAGAGATCTCGTCTAAGGATTTCCGCATCTTGAACAGGTCTGCTGCGTTTCGCAGGCAGTTAGTTATAGCCAACGGCATCCGCCTCGTGCTCAAATGAAGTGAGGCTGGCCTGTCGCAAGTGCCAAACCCTTTCTCCAGCTTGTAGATTATCCCTGTAAATATTATATTGATCTCGTCAAGGGTGCGATGATTCCGGGTGCGGAAGCAGTACTAGGATCATGGCAGCGGTATCAAGCTCAACAGCCGGAACCCGGTACCATCTGGTTCCGACGGAGAATCGGGACATTGAGGAAAGCAGCTTCTTCACGACGGTTTCATTTCCACCGATTCGGTCACGTCGCCCTCTGGGGCTTTCCGTTTTCCCGCTCTCGCCTTCGGGCCCCAGTATGGTTCAGGGTTCTGCGGATACCGCACACTTTGCTTCTCCGCATTCCCTCGGCGAACAAACTTGTCCCTCTTAATCGTGAAGTCGATCTCCTCCTTAGAAATCAGTTCTGGCTGCTTTTCTAGAATTCGATTTCCAGCTGGTAATTTCTTATTTTTTCCGTCGTCCTCTGTCTTCTTCGCTTGATCGCCGTTAGACCCCGTTTTTGCTCTGAGCGGGCTTCCCACTTTGTCCACCCAGTGCCGCAGTATATCCCACACTAGTTCAGGTGGTGCATGCGTTTTTATCGCCTGAGGATCCGTGTGTGACTGTGATACCTCATAACCGCGCTTCAACAGAACAGCCCTTACCGATGCGGCCGGCGGCGGGGAGACACGCAGAACTCGACACATTGACGGGAGATGCATAAATAGCGGCACGGATTTGACTTCTTCCTCCAGCAATGTGACCAGCGCACCGACCCTATCGCGAGCCTTGAATTCGCCCTCGCCGGATTCAATATCCTGCAAGAGACTTTTAGCCACACCCTCACCGATCAAAGGACCATTCCACATAGGCCCGCCCATCAGCATTGCTCCGCCGCATATCCTGCAGTGGCTGGAGATATCGCTTTCGACCAAGGGAGGTGAATATTTGACATTGACGGGGTTCTTAGATGGAGCGGGGTTTTCCTTTGAAACCTCCTCGCCGTTCTCTTTCGCACCCAACTTCTCTTTGATCGCGTCGTTCCCTTCATCACCTTTTTCCTTGCGCCTCCGCTTCCTTCTCGCCGAATTGCTGACAGGATTCGGGCGAGTGCGGCCCATCGGTTGGTGCCGCTGCGTGCCGCACTCCGCACACTGAAACACCATGGACATACTCGCGGGCGTCTGCTGGGCGAGGTGCTTAGAGTCGCGAACGATTACAAACAAGCGGACATAAAAATCAATCTTGACGCAACACACAGCCTCGACCGCGCGACTATGGCGATTGGCGGCTGTTTGAATAGCCGCAAAGACGATACGTACGGCCATCTCGTGGGAAGTGGGGCTCTTGAGCGGGGTAGCGCAGTACCGTCCGAAGCAAATCTCCGGGGAGTTGCCACACAGCACGGCGAGATCGGTGCACGTGACGGCGAGCAAGCCGCCGTCGGCAACGGCCTGGACCGCGACGTCCAGAAACGGGGCGGCGGAGCCGTACGGATCCAAGTCGACGGCGTCGAAGCGCTTGTCCCTGGCGCGCGCAAGCGTCATGACCTCGATAGCGTCGCCGCAGTTGGGCTGGATATCGGCCTCGGGGTCGAGCCCGTTGTGCAGGACGTTGCGGCGGATGGTGTCGACGGCGTTGGGGTCGAGGTCGTTGGCGAGGATGTGGCGCACGGAAGGCACCTCCTTGAAGTAGCGCACGGAGCGCAGCCCCGTCGCCGACAGCGCCTCGACGATGCGCAGTGGGCGCGCGTCCGCCGAACGAGTGCGCACCAGCCAGCGCAGCACCAGCACGGACAGGTCCCGGTTGACGACCTGCGCAGGGTTGTAGAAGACTTGGCCCTTGCGGTACAGCGCGCGCGCACGGCCTTCCACCAACTCGTCGAAGGCCTCCGCGGACAGGCCGCCCGCAACGGCCGGCTTGGATTGCATGCTGGCGGTGGAGGACGCCAGGAGCTGCGAGAGCTTGCGGGGGAGGCGGGCGAGGAAGTTTGCGTGGGGCATGAAGAGGGCGGGCGGCACCGCGGTGGGCGACGGCGGGACGCGGGGGCGGGCGAGCCGGACAAGCGGATCTAAAATGAATGGGGCGGAGCGGAATCCGCGAAATAATAAGCGCTAATCCGGCGAAACTTGTGCAGCAGCCGTTGGAGGGCTCGAATGCGAGCGACACAGCACCGCGGCGCCCATTCCGCCCGCCCGCCTGCCCGCCCGCGTGCGCACCCCCGTCAACCGAAATCCGCTACCGCCCCCCGCCCGTGCCTCAGCGATGTGCGCCCACACGCCGGACGCCAGCCCGCCCTTCACCGCGCCCGACGCCGACGCGAGTGCCCCCGCTCCCGTCCCGCCCGCGCCCTCCCCGGCTCCCCCC